TTTCTGAAACGATAATTTCAAGCATCTCGTCATCAATGAAACGTTCATAAACATCAGTTGGACGTAGATCATTAGAATCATCTGAAAAAATATTTTATATTTTTACCAAATAAAAATAGACAACAAAATATATTAATACCAGGGTAAACGCCGTGATGATATTTTTGCTATTGCCAGTACAAGATTGTTTGGGTCGACCAGAACTTGTAGAAGGTTCATCACTCATATTTATAACACCACTTTATAACACACACACGATTTACTAAAATTTATATTTCTAAAACACCCCTCTTAGTTTGCAGGTTCTCACAACATTAAGCATTACCCATAAACCGCAAAATCTGTACAAGAACCAACCTGAATATAGTAAAAGTGCAGTCGTAAATTTACCCTACAAAGGTGGGCAACCAGTGATGTTATGTATCTCAATGAGTTGTTTATATTATCAGTATGCCACAGTATAAGTAGTTAAGCTTAATTCACAGGCCAAGCGGATATATATCTGATTTAGAAGTATACTGCATGTGAAACACATGTGAGTCACGTGGCCTCCGAGCAAAACGCGCCTGTGTATCACCGGTGTTTCACATGGCAGCCAATGTGTTAAGCATTAATCTTCAATAATTCTAAAGACGGCCATTGTTTTTATCATCCTGCCTAATTGATCTAGCTGAATCGAAAGATTCCAAAACGAGTATACTGTGCTTTCCAGGACACCCCATCTACCGCTACTTGTTTATGGAACGGGTCGATTTAGCAAGCTGAAATTGAGAATGATGAAATTGATGCATGAATTTTAACGTAAAAATAACAGTTGAAAATTTAATGAGGGGTCATGTGATATCTAATTTTAGAGATCCTTATATCATGTACAAATATAACCCCAGGGTGGTAGCGTTGGTTTTTGCCTCCCCATCTTTAAATTATTTAATCAACTACTCGTAAAATGAACTTTTCGCGTTTTTTTTTTCATAGCAAAATCGTATAAGTAATCGTCAATTGTCAAATTAGCTACATTTGAGAGCCTTAACGTAGACATAGTCGGTCTGAGATAATTCTTAATTAAACTAAGCGTAGAGAAACTTCTCGCGCAACTGGCAGATGTAAAATAAATTCTCAATAATATGACAATATTTGGTAAGCCATCTTCAAGCTTGGGCTCAATAATGTACTTTAATAAGCCCAGAGAGCTGGATTTAAGAGCTCTTTTTACAGTCCGGTTCTATTATAGCTACGAAAGTTTGAATACATGCGCGCTCAATTTAGAATTCTTCATTATTAATCCCTTTCTCTAAATCACCTTGCCTCAAAATCTGTTTTGGTGCTCTGTTGCTCCTGAACCAATAATTTGTCATATTGAACGCAAATATTTATTTTGCATTGCAGATTTCAACAGCTTTCGTTAATTAAGTCCAGTTTGAATCATTCGTCGATAAAATGCCACTGAGCTGGGCCAAATATTTTCCATAATATCAATTCATTCCTCGAAAGCAACCCTCGTTCACGATTTCTATTTTGATTTCAGTTATCAAAACATACAAAGTCCGCATCGGATTTTGTAAATTACTCTGCCGACAATAGACTGCTGTCTCACAAAACTAGACGACGAGTCACAAAGTGTTTTAATGCCAGATTTTTCTGCCGGGACTATGATTGATCCGGGATATAAATAAATAAATAGCGCCCAACAGTTAGGGTAACCATTCATAGGACATAGTCTAATCATATTAGACGAAAATACCCCTGGTTTTGCGAAATAATTGTAATGTTTGGTTTTATTGCTGCAAGCTGTTTAAGGGCGTATTGAAAACATGGATGCATGAAATGGGTATACCAATTTTTGTGAAAAAACTTTTTATTCGACAGCAAAGAATGAGAAAACGAGTTTTTTGGGATTCAATCGAAAGTGTTGGCAGGAACAAAAAACCTCTTCATATAAGATTTTTAGAGACCTACAAAATGAGACCACACGTGAAAAGATCCGACTAATAGAAAAAAAACTATGGCCGAAAACCGAGGCAAACTGCAGCTTTTGGTACTTGTTGGTAATGCGACAAAGGTTTCTCGCAGGTATTTGAAATTCTTCAAATTTGTAGGATTCGTACTTGTCAATAACCACAACAAAATTGTAGTAGATTGGTCAAGTAGTCTTTGAAAATTTGTAATTGTTTATTGCAAAACACCTGTTTTCCGGCCATCAGTACTAGGTCATTGAGCAATATACAGGGTTAGTTCAAAGGGCATTTTATAGCAAAATACACTAGTTTACCTTACCGATATGAATCGCAAATCATTCCGTAAAATAAATGTTATTTGTATGCAAAAAAGGATGGGTTAGGTTTTTTCTAAACAAATTCGAACATTCTGTATATGTTTTTTGAATATCGTAGCGCATTTGTTCAGTTATTCACAAATACGAAATGTTTGAATTTGTTTAGAAGAAAAAACGTAACCTTTGTTTTTCGCATAAAAATAACACTCATGGACCTGGACAACTGACAACCTCGTCAAGAACATTCACGATTAGTAAAATAAGCAATTTTATGTTAGAAAAAAGTTTAATTTTCGCAAAGTGAGTATGACTGGTCCGGGATATAAATAAATAAGTATCGTTTATTGCCAACAGTTAAGGAAACCACAATAAAAGGTTTTAACGGTACGTATTTGAATAGATGGGGCATTAAGGTTTAGTTGAGCCACAATTTCATTAGCGTCAATTTCGTGCAGCAGTTTATGCAAGAAATTGATTGACGCATACTTATCCGGGATATAAATAAATAAGTAGCGTTTATTGCCGACAGTTAAGGAAACCACGATAAAAGGTTTAAACGGTACGAATTTGAATAGATGGGGCATTAAAGTTTAGTTGAGCCACACTTTCATTAGCAGTAATTTCGTGCAGCAGTTTATGCAAGAAAATGATTGACGCACATTTAGCTCTAAATACCGCATTTAAAAACTAGACAATAACATGGATATGAAAAAACAATCAGATATTGGTATAAAATACACAATTTTAAATAGCGTATTAGATGTAGCTTCACAGTTTTCGTAATTGGCAAGGGAACCAGCGACGTTTGTGAAATTATACACACTTATATCGGAAAAAATCAGCCTAAATAGATAAGATTGAAATGGAGAATTGCTACGAGCTCCTGGGACCGTCCCAAAACAACATACCCATAGATCTGGACAGTATCGTTTTTTTCAAATGACTTGTTCTAAACTGGTTTCCTTTTATGAATGCTCGTATCCAGGCGGCCATACCCGGCTGTGTCAGCAATTGTTCAGAATCTACCCAACTCCAAAGTGAAATGCTGCGACAAATATAAAACAGTAAATCTAATAACACGAGCTGTTTGCACCAAAAACCGATACATCATAAAATTACCGCTTTCTATCGAATTTTAGTTCTATCATGGGTGGGCTATTGCGTTATTACCTCTCCACGTCAATGTAGGCGAGGAAATATTGTACGAACATCCATGTAATTCATTACGGTCGGTCTATCTATTCGTCTTTTCTAACCCAAGAGCTGGTGACATTTAACTCTTCGTGATTTTTCGTGGACTTCGTGCTCCTTATAAATTGCCATGTCTCTAACGACAAAGAAAGGGAAGTACTTTTTCGGAAACTTAGATGAAAAACAAAGGACAATCGTGGGCATGCCCGCAATAAAGAGATATGAGCGGAAATAGATGGATTGGTAACCCGAGCGACGTACGCTTCCGCTTATTGGCTAAAATCAAGTTAAGCTCAAATCAAGTATTCGGTATTAGCAGTCAAGAAGTTTTTACGACAAATACGAGAAAATTCATGTAATGTCCATATTACTCTATAATTTCTGTAATATAAATACGAGTGAACCATAAATACACAGACGTTGTGACAAGTTGGTAAGAAAACGATAGGGTAAACTCGGTAGAGATGGCGCATGTTTTTTAAATTCATATAAAAAATCAGATTTAAATTATTTAATGAGTATCAACTTTTTATACAGTAGTATTGAATAAAATGAAAGTAGGAAATACCAAAATGCAATACTTTATTTGAATTTACTAACAAAAAAAGGCGTTTTTTCTAAATAATAGGAAATACCATCTCACCCCTAGAGTATGGGGGAGATGGCGCACATAGAAAAAATGAGAAAAAATTACTAAATTTTAACACGTTCACGTCGGTCGCATTGCGAGCAGTAGCTAGGAGACTTCGTGCAGCTCTCTTGAAGCCATTTGTGGCAAGAAACGCACTGCAACCAGTCCTCTTGACTTGTAGTGTTTATGTAGATCTCCCCACAGCCAACACACTACGATTCCTCATCGTAGTCATGGATGTTGCTATTTGAATCGCTTTGTAAATCAATATCACTATCTGAAGAAGAAGCACTCTGAATTTTTTGTTGCTTTTCATGGTTCGTCGCCATTTTGGGGCCTTTTTACGTTTTTTCACACCCTTCTTTTCATTTTCCGCTAACAGTTCGTAGCGTAGTTCTGCCAGAGGTGTGTCATTATCCGAAAAAGATTCACTCGAGTTTCTTGTTTTTTCCAGTTGGCTGATCTTAGATGTTTTGTCATTTTTTCACCCTGACTTTATTTTGGGCACAATTTGATCTTGTTCTATTAGTGTTTTCTTTTTTAAAATAATTTCTGGATATATCAATATTGCATCAAGCTGACGACTGCGTTTGCGTAACACTTTAGAAGTACTAGGAACTGGGCAGATGCTGTCTAACATTTTTCCTGGGGTTTCTTTCTCCTTTTTTAGGGTAAAACGGCGTGCGCCAACTAACCCAATTTGTGCGGGTACGATGGCTCAGTCACTTGCTTATCAACGAATAACTATTTCCATAATTTTAAGGTTAGAAAACAAACTAATGTTATTTCAAAGCGATAATGTTACAACTACTGAGAATTCTAGTCAGTTCCATTTCAAAATAATTAAATTGCTTAGTGTCTAAAAAAATAAGGTATGATAAAATATATAATGGAAAATTTAATTACCTTAACTCCAAATAAAGGCACGAGATGAACGGAAAACTTGCACATGAAGATCGACAGTAATGGCGACGTTGTCTGCCCCTAGTTCGTTCAGGAAAATATTGCACTGCGCCGTCTAGCCCGCTGAGCCATCTCTGCCGAGTTTACCCTACATATAAAAAAAATATTATGTTTATTGTTTAGCAAATAAAAGAACGATAAATCTGTAAACTCAAATATAAAAAAAGATTCTCCACCAGCTGATACAAAACATTAAAAAATAATAATTAGCTTTTCATTCACTAATCACGAGTTAGGAGACATGGAGCCTCTGAAACGTCAAAGACGAAGACGAATTTTGAAACAATTTTAATTTTTTGCTTCTAGCTCCGCCATCACTGGGCCAGTTGCCAAAAACAAAGTTTTCGCGTCCTTGGCGTCGAGGCAACTTTTTCTCAAAATCCGATCGGTTCTGTCAAAGTTATACCGAGGCCAGACAGACCGACGGAAATGAGCGACATGGTCTTTCGTGATATATTGTACGTGTCAAGTATCATCCAAAAAACATTTTGAAATTTTTGTGGTGTGGAAAGTGAACATGCTTAGAGCATAAATGTCAGCAACCGTTGGGATATGTATACTGAATGTCAAATAAACCGTGAAAGTTGGAGCTAACAGCTTTGTATAGCTCTCGCTCTCACGTTGACCCGAAAACGTAACAAGCAACTGGATGATGCCATTTATCATGTGCACAAATGCAGACATAATGTCACGATAAAGTTATCTGTTGACAAGTACACGGAACTTGCATTGGCATAAATTTTAGATGAATATGGCCTACGAAATGCAACATCTGTAAACAGAATTACACTACAGAAATAACACGCCAGAGTAGCAAGGGAGGTAAATTGCAGATAAAATAAACATGACCGTAGTAAAAGTTTTATATTTTCCGAGATATTACCACTTTTGAGTGTTTTAAAAACATCACCACTTTTTGCTCCTTTTTCGCCTGTTAATGCTATAAAGAACTTCTAACTTGGGATTTTTTTCTTGGGTAACCATTAAGAGTTGGTTGAGACAACCGAGTATTTATTTAGTTAAGAACTAGCACGGTATGCTAAAAAAAATTATTATATTTTGTTTCAATGAGAAAGCCTATTTAATGCTCTTTTAAAAACAGTATAACATCTGTTGGTTCTTTCTACTAATATAAGAATAATTTGTCATTGAGGTCGTAATACTTGCGAAATACTACAAATAATAGATAAGTGCAGCCATCTTTTGTATCAAACTCACTAAGGAATGCAACGACCTAAACATGTCATTGGCTAACGTGGCTCTCACATTCATATTAATGGTTGCCCAGGAAAATATTGGTAAGTTAGAAGTTCTTTATAGCCATAACAGCTAAAAAAGGAGCAAAAGCATTGATTTTGTGAAAAAACTTGAAAGTTGCAATATCTCAAAAACTAGAAAACCTTTACTAAGGTCATGTTGATTTTATCTGATTGATCTGAAGCCAATCTACCTCCCGTGCCACTCTGGTGTGTTATGTGTGTGGCACCCTGTAAGTACTGAGATAATTTTGGCATAAAAAATGTTTCCGTTTCTCATGAAGAGAGAGAGGATTGGCCCCATTAATTCTCTTATACGTCGTTATTCAGGGGTTACTCACTACTCAGGACTAATCATCAGCTACCAAAAACTAGAGCAGAACATTGTAATGTGATCCAGCGGTTTCTTAGATTACCCATAGGAAGGCAATTGAAACTTTAGCTTGGGCCACATTTGCCCAAAAATCCTTTCCAACACACATTCAGTCGAAAGCTTTCAAAAAATCAGTACTCCCGAGAACAGTCACATAATCATTATCATTGAGTTTAGGAACAGTTGAACCACCTTTTAAAAGGTGTTGAGGTGTATTGGTATACACTACTCAAAAAATTAAGGGAGCAAGAAAAAAATCCAATTTTTCCGGTGATTTTTGACATGGTCGTATCTAGACTTTAACCTTGAATTATTCTAAACAAAAAAGTTCATTATAATCTATGTCCGAAAATCAACCGTTTCGGAGCAAAAAAATGCTGAACTTATTTCTATTTAGTCATGAAAAAAATTAATTTTGCACCTTATTAATCTAGATTCATATGTCTAATAGCGTAAAATGTATCAATACATATATTTATTAATTAACTGTCTATAATTTTCTTGCTTATTAAATTCAATTTTCCGAAGAAGAACAAACAAACAAAATCCCTCACACAACTGGCAACGTCGTATTGCGCCTGCACTGCATGTATCATCGCGACCGACATCGTGTCGGTAGGCAAAAAAATAAATACCTACATCGGGAAAAAAATATTTGATAGTTTCTTACATACGTTAATGCAAGTAATTTTTACCCGAATTGAAATCACACTTTATTATTCAGTATGTATTACTGTATCAGTGCGTGCAGTTTGATACCAAAGAGATGTTTTCGGTACGCGAATATCACGATATGCTTATTATTTACGGAGATGCTCATTGCAATTCTGAAGAGGCTAGGCGCATTTACGAAGAACGTTTTCCTGATCGAAGGCTACCAGCTAGAAGAACATTCGTAGAAGTATCCCAAAGACTTCTGGACACAGGGAGCGTAGTGCCTATTTTTAACAATCGCGGAAGACATCGTGAAGTTGGAGTGGAAATCGAAGAACATCCATTGTGATTACTTTACTTAACTGTAACCTTATGTGATTTACGGATGTTTGTTTTCTTTTTTCGTGCATCGCATCGCTTCAAATAAGTGACTGATAATCGTGGGAATTGATGGTGTGTATCGCCACGTACCGTAAGTTCTGTCATTTTTTTGAGTAAATGGACTGTACTGGAAGCGTTATTAAATAAAAAATATTAGCCACAAAAAATGTCGTGAAAGCATTCAATAATTCAAAGCATATTTTCAACAAAAATATCATACAAACGTAAACAATTCGATGAATCCCGCCCCCCCCCTCCCACGGGGGCGCGGTAAAGGGGGTAATTACCTCCCCCAGACGACTCGAGTAGTCTTTGAAAAGGTGGTATAAAGTAAACGTCATATAAAAAAATCTGTAACTTTAAGAAAGGATAGCGGCAACACTGCCAACCCGTTCAGTGCGCATGCGACTAGCGACTACTCTCCCACCAACAGCAACGGTATGCGCTCCTTCCTGTTGGAACAGGTATAGTCTAGTCTTTTGTGGCCTAGTCTAGTGTATAAATTCTGTACCAGTCCGGAGTCCGCAACAAAATTTGGCTGAGAAGTGAACAAGCAGAGTTTTGTTGATATGGTTGGTATTAACACTATTTTCTACGTTCTTTTGATTTTTTATTTTCCACGCATAAGCCAGAAAATCAATTTTTGTTTGTTTTTAACTTTTAACTCTAAAAATGGAAATTTAATATAATTTCAATTACGAATATTTAGTTTTTGAAAATTTCGTGAACTTAAGAAATCTTGTTTTCCAAACAGCAAAGGTTCTTTGTTATGATATACGTGAATGCGCGGAAACCTATAATGCCGTTTATTTGGCAATATTTGTGTAACTTTTAGTGCTGGTTGACGGCTGCTGTTGACAGGATGAGTAAAAGGAAACAGAATACCATCGATTGGTTCCTTTCTAAACAAAACAAACTGTCTGATCCACCGGCACAAGAATTACCGGAAAAAAACTGATGATGACTTCAAAATTTCTTAATGTTACACCGTAAGCTGAACCAAGTGTTGAACAATCGGGTGCGAAACCTGAAGGATCCAATTTTGTTGATGTTGCGCCATATGTAAATTTCAGCGGCAACTTGCGGTATTGTCATCAAAAACATATTTACGAGGACTCCATGAGATTTGTGGATTGCTACTCAAATTTTGATGAAGATACAATGGAGCCCAAACTCACAGGTCCAATTCTTACTCAAACAGTCAAGCATTTCATTAAAACCAATAACTTAGACTCAAAACTATGTGTGGGCATTGGTACTGATACGTGTAACCTAATGTTAGGTGAACAAAAGGGCGCTCTAATGGAATTGCAAAAATGTTTGCCAAATGCTCTAAAAAGCTCAGGCGCAAATCATGCCTTGGATCTTTCGATTTCAAAAAGCAGCAGGGTCCAAGCAGTAAGAAATACTGTATGTTAGGTATAATGAAGGAAGTAATTGCGTTCTTCAAAGCATCCACTAAAAGAAATACCTCATTGAAAAGAAAACTAGACGGATATCAAATTCATAGTATGTGCGAACCACGATGGGCCTTGAGACATGATTCTGTTCTCCAATTTGAAAGCAAATTCAAGAAAATTGTAGAGGCACTAAATATTAAATATATCAAATTGGAAAGACCGCGAAGTTTCTTCAAAAGCAGAGTCCTCGAAGACTGCCATTACTTCCACCCAATTTATCGTATCACTAAAGTGTTTGTGTGGTATACTAGCTTTGACAGTCAACCTGAGTAAGATATTACAATCAAAAACAATTGACAAACAATACGCTGTCAAACTCATAGAAAATATTATTTCAGTTGTACAAGAAAGACGCGCATATTCCGAAAAACGCTTTAGAATACTATTCGCATCTATAATGAAATCACATGAAACCCTGGGTATTGAACTGACTGTGCCAAGAATAACAAGCAGGCAAATGAACAGACCGAACATAGTTACGTCTGACAAGGAAAATCATTACAGACTGAACCTATATGTCCCTTTGCTGGATAATATATTACGGGATTTGGTATACCGGTTCAATGAAGAATCTTTGAATATATACAATTTTAATATTTTCTTTGCGTCAGTATTGAATTCAAAAACTGAAGCTGAAGTAATGTATATATTAGAAACAATCTCTAAATATTATATATATATACAGGGTGACTTCGAAGTTGAGTCATTTATTTTAACAGTGAGTAGATCTGATCAAAAGAAATGTTTTTTTCCTTTACCATTTTTCTGGTAAAATTAAAGTAACAAAGTTATAGCCCTTTGGAAGTTTGAGTACCGCCCTGCCTATTATATGCTCGTGTTTGGCGACAACGGATATAATTCGCCTGACCGGTTCATCGCATCGGAAACAAAAAAGCG